TTATGAGGCAGCCATCTGGCTCTTCCACCGACGATGGAAAGTGACTCCTTAATTATGGCGATCTCGAGAGCACTTCGCTCGTCCTCGCCATGACTCTGGTCGGAGTTTAGGGCATCGTACAAGGACTTGGCGTCCATCACCACTATTGAATGCGGGTCCAAATAGGATTCCGATTCACTTGCGATCACTGTCGCTTTGCCCATCGCAGCCAGCTTTTCGTCTTCGGAGCGCTGTCTTGACCTTGGCTGAAAATGAGAGAACCTAATGCTCTCCATGAAAGCGTCTTGGCGTTCTAGCGCTCCAGTTGCTGCCGACATTGAAATGGCCTCGCAGAGAAGGCTTGAAGCCGCCTTTCTGCGCAGTCTCTTTGAGCGCCACTGCATCAAACTGACCGGGGCTTCCTCACCAACATTGAGCTTGTCATTGGTGAAGCCCATCAACCAGCCATGCTGGGAGCGCTCCTGGCCAGACGTGTCAAAAGCCGAGTCACTGATCAGTAGGTTCCGCAATCTGCTCTCTTCGATTGCGTGTATGACCAACTTGATGGGGTATGTCTTGACATGTCGCACGACATCATTTGCTGCCAACAAGTGCATTGCCTTGGGTTCTGGAAAGGATGAAGCCAGTATTGACGCTGCTGAGGCCGCGTCAGGCCGGCCCTCGCGAGCGAGCCAGTTGAGGCTTGCGATGAGACCGCGGAGCTGTGACTTCTCAGTCTCGGTCAACGGAAATTGAGCGGCGTCCTTTTTCAGTACCTTGCGGGTCATGGGAATCGGTTGGAGTCTGGTGTAGATGAACTCATCCATGTCCAGCTCAAAGCTGAAGTCTTTTCGCTGCTTTAACCGTCTGCCCGCGTAGTTTGAGCCATTTTCACTCTGGAGGTTGTCCACCTTGCCAAAGGTGAGAAGACCCTCCATGCGCTGCATGAGCTTTTGGTGCTCTGGACCTCCAGCTTCGGCAATATCATCCACCTCAATGACCATGAAACCCATGGTAGGAGGGTTGCCCGGTCCAGGCGCAGGAAGCGTTAGGATGCAGCGGTCGTACTTGTTCACCTCATAGCCCAAGGTTTCAGTTGCCAGCTTAAGCAAACTGCGACGCCACCATGACGGTCCAGAAACAAGGCCATAGACCTCGGTCTCAAGAAGCAAAAGCTGTCGTGGATCATATCCTTCGAGGTGCTCGTCTCGTGGTTGCCGGATGGCCAGTTTCTTCTTCCGGGTTGTTGGAAGAGCTTGCAAGAAGGCAGTTTTCACGTCTCGAACTCGAGTGGTCCACCGTCTTGAAGCAGCCATCTGGAGGCAGCAGTGGAGAGAAGTGGAGAGCGGCGTAGGCGCCGATCTCTCAACTTCCATGATCTGCGGATCTTCCCACCCAATGACGCAGAGCCGCGACTTGGGATTCTGTTGATCCTCCTCGAGGGCAATTGCTTCCAGGTGGCCTTCATCAATGGCCTTCTTTTTGTAGTTCTCGATTTTCTCCGGGGACACATCCTTTGGCTTGAACCGGTCAACGAAACGAGAGTTGATGACCTGCTCTGGCCATTGCTCCTCGAACGCAATGCTGTCTTCAATTGAGAGCACTCGAACAGCTTTGTTCTTGATGAGGCTGTCCACTTCTTTGATTCGAGCCTTTCTGAACTTCACTTTCTCTTCCTCCGGCAGCTTGGAAAACTCAATCTGTCCAAAGGAGGACTTGGCTTTGCTAACATACATACACCGGTCATTGGCGCAGAAACTAGCTTCAGCTTGGGATGACGAGAAGGTTCCATGAGAGCGAGCTCGAGGAAGGAGGATCCGACGGCCCTGCTCTCTATTGAACTTCCAGGTTGCTCCAATGAAAGGTGTTTTGGAGCCAAGCTGCTTGAGGTCCTCATCCTTGTCGAAGTCCACAACTTCTATGTAGAAGGACGCTCCTGGAGGCGGTGGAAGTGAAGGCTGGGCTCCATCAAAGGGAAAAGGCATGGTTGCTCGCCTTGCTGGTGGTGTATAACCCACTGGTGGAGTTTCTGGCACCTCTTGGTACGGGGTGTATCGGTTCCTGGCATTGGATGGAGCCGGACCAAACTGCATGGTGCCGTGTGGGCCTTCATCCACACGAATGGTGGTTCTTGGAGCGGAGGTGGCTGGCTCACCTGGTGCCATCTCCATTGACCTGTGCTCTGTTTGTTTCGGCTCGTAGCCCTCAGCAATTGGAGGCAGCAATGGCGCGTCTTCATTGTGATCAGTCCTAATGCTGACCCTTCGGCTTGGCGGCTGTGAGAGCTGGGGCGGAGTGGTTGTGGTGCCCTCGGAGTCCAGCTCCATATCCACATCGGCTTCACCTTCTGGATGTTGGGTGCTGTCATTGGTTGTTTCTCTTTCCATTGGCAGTGAGGGGGAGTACTCGTCATCGGCTACGCCATCTGCAGTGTTGTCGAGTTCAGAGATCCGCAGGTGGCGTCTGCTGGTTTCAAGGTCCTCTTCAGAAGGAAAGGTCTCGGCAGTGACGTCCTGATAGGCAATCTGGTTGTGGCCTTCCTTCTTGTGGAGCTTGTCCAGCATTTCACGAGTCAGTTCAACCACCAGTTCCGCACCCAATTCTTCCTCAGGTGTGGCTGGCCTCAGCTGCTCACGAGCTGCTTTCCACAAACGACCACGCATGCTGACCCACAAGGAACGGTCATGGACATCAGGCGAAATCAGCACACCAGGTCCAACCCATCCGCGATAGCTTGGAGAGTCGCGGAACACGTAGACCCAGGTGCCAGGTCGCAGATCTTTGAGGTCTGCTGTGCGACTGTTGGCTTTCAGAGCTCTCTTGAGTGCTCCTTGGTCTTGTTTCTTCATCCATTCTTTCATGGCAGCTTCACGGATCTCCCATGCTCGATGTAGAGGGTGAGAGGCCGCTGCGGCTGTCAGCTCCCGATCCATCCGTAGCCAAGAGGGAAGCAGGTAGCCGTAGCGACTTGCCGAAGACTCTTTGCATTGGAGAGAACCCGTGCCTGTCCATGAATCTGTTTCTTGAAGCAACCACCTCAGAGACAACAAGGGCCAGTTCTTCAAAGCGAGCACATGTTTCTTCCAAGGTGGCTTGGATCTTCTCCTTCAGGATTCCCCCGCCTCGCTCCGTCCGTGAGTTTTGCCACGGAGACTCAGGGTCTGTGTAATGAAGCGCGGTGCCTTGGCCGCCAACCAGTTCTTGGAACTTGAAGTTGTCGAACTCTTTTCCGCGATCCATGACTAGTAGCACAGGTGGACCGTAGTGCTTGATCCACTCGTTCATAAAAACATTCAGAACTTCATCTGCCGACTTGTCGCGGCACAGGCTGGCTTGCTGAAAGTTGGTCCCCCCAGCAGAGCATGTTGAGGATGATGTTCTGCTGCCCATAGGCCTCCAAGAAGCAGAGGTCTATTCCTACCACTTGGTTGAACTCGAGTGCACGCATCAAGTGGCCTGGTCGCGCCGGTGATGGTCTTGGCCGAGCCTCACATGTGGAACATCGGAAATGTTCCTTGGTCCAGCTCAAAATGTCATCACGAACTCCTGAGTTGCGAAGAGCCCTCAGAAAGATCTCTCTCGGAGGGTGGCCAAGGTTCTGATGCACCCGGTGCACTTCTTTCCGCAGCTTGGGATCTAAGGCAAAGGCACCTACGCCAACATTCTCAAAGGTCTCAACCTTCTCCATTGCTTCTTGTAAGCGAGGGTTGTCTTCGAAGGTTCGAAGCTGTCGTCTCAAATCAGAGACGGCATCATCTTCTTCTTCTTCGTCTCTCTCTTCTCCCACAGCCGTTGGCCAGCTCATGGCATGGTTGCCGTCCTCAATCTCGCGCTCAAGCTCCACCAGGTCATAAGCTTCTTCCCTGGCAATGTGGCCCAGTGACTGACCCCACTGATACCACTGCCGGTGGTTTTCTTTTGGCTTGAGCGCAGAGTGCCCCAATGCAGCTTTAATGCCACTCACAAGAGCCTTGACAAAGGAGGGGGTGTAGATGGCTGCATCCCGTGCAGGGCCTCCCAAAAGCATGCCGTGGTGGTGATTCTTGGAACACGTCTTTTCAACATGCTCGCCCACGCCCTCGATGTTAGTAGCGAGGCAGGTTGGCTTTTTCACTCTCATACCTTTGAAGGGACCGCGCATAGCACGTAGTTCAAAGCGGCATTGGTCTAAGGCAATCTGGGTAACATCAGGTCGTTGACAGAGACGATGCAAGGAAGGTTGTTGCCAGGATGTGCACGGTGGCGCTGCTCCAAAATGAAGAACCTGCCTTCATTGGCCTGTTCTTCGGCCAGCTCAACGGAATAGTCCATGTGCACATTTCCTTCAGCTTCCTCCTCAACAACTTGCCAGTAAGGTCGCTTGAAGTTTGAAAGCTTTCTCAAAGGAGAGAACGTTCGGCATGGAGGACTCAGTAGCAGGACTGCAGGGCGATGCTTTCTCACCAACTCCTTGGCCTTCTTGCGGTGAGCGGCTAAGCGAAAGTCCCAGCCATTGGTGAGGTCCAGAGAAAGTTTGGCCCGCAAGCCCTGTCGCCGAGCTTCTTCACACACTCGTGGTGGCGAGTAGACTTCACCCACGTGGTCCAAGTAGCGAACCGCGTGGTAGACAATGCATTGGCGATCTTTGCGATCCAAAGTCTTTGGTGCTCCCTCAAAATCAGTTCGGCCTAGCTCGGAGAGGCTGGCATTCAAGGCAAAAGTAGCCGTCGTTGAGCGGCTCAGTCCCAAAAGCGAATTCGAAGCGGAGGTGTCCGAGGGATCATCAAGCTCCACCTGAGAACCCAGCCAGTGTAAGTTGGCCGAGGCCTCGGGCACCACGCAAAGGATTGAAGCAAAAGTGAGAATGGCTGCCGTAGCGCTCTTTGAGCTAGGTGCCAAAGATCTCTTCAAACAAGCCTTCATTCGAGGCGATGAGGACATAGGCAACGTGGTCGTGGTAGGAGTGGTCAAAGCGCTTCCATGAACCTCCTCCTTCGTAGTGCTCGTGGTACACATGGTTGCCTGGTCCTTTGACTTCTGGCTCAGGGCGACACCACTTGGACATCGTCCAGCAGGCTTGGCACTGAGCTGCTCGATGAGTGGATCTCGTACTGCTCGGTGAGGTGCTCCCTCTCCATGGTCTCCTGATGGCGAGACTTGGTGCGATGCTGAGCTGGCCGGACACCTGAGGTCATACGTCGACGACGATCCGGACTGGGTGACCTTGCCTTCATGGGCCCACTGGTGCGAGCTCCTGCCATGGAGTCCACTGGAAGCTCCGGTGTCTCTTGCACTGGGGATGCCAGCCACGACGGGGTTCGTGTCTGGTTGGAGTAGTCCGGAGGCACACTGCTTGGAGTCATCTCTTCTGCCGTCAGCTCCTGCACCACCAGTGTTGGAAGATCTGAGCGATACTTGGGCGGTGGCAGTTTGGCTGGGTAGCTCTTGTCGGAGTGCACCAGCATGTCCACAACTCGGCTTGGTCGATCCGTCGAGGACTGAGCACTGGACTTGGGGCTGCTGCGGTGCACGTTGATCTCCGCATCGGCTGCCCACTCTACTCGCTCCCAGCAGGAACCGCAGTCGAGACATGTCCACCATTATAAGTGTCCTTTGTGCCCCGCTGCCTGAGCTTGTCCTCGTCGTGGGCACATTTGGACGGCTCGCAGTGCCATGTCTTGCAGGCGTTGGATCGCCGCAGTGGACGACCAATTCCTCGGCGCACCTTGCCATCGCCGATGGTCTTCTTGGACTTGCTCTCCGCCTCGGTGGGCGAAGCGGTCGCCACCTGGTACTGCTTGTTGCGGCTGAGCAAGTGATCCATGGCTGACTGCTTGATGGTGTTGAAAATCATGGTCATGATGAGCTGAGTCATGCGCTTCCAAGCGCCCATCAGCTTCTGTGAGCTGGTCTTGCGTCGCCCGGCAGTGGGCGCTTCCTGATCCGCCTGCACCAGCCATTGAGTGATGCGAGTCTGCATTTCGGCCTTCGGAAAGTTGTGGTGGGCTTGAACCAGGAGCCAAAGCTGCACGACCATCTGGCTGAGCAAAAGAACGGTGAACACCATCAGATTCCACAGCAAAACAAGGCTTCTCACGCTTTTCAAAAACACGTGCACTGCCAAAAGAACTCTCTCTCAACGTCAAGGGTGCTCTGTCACTCTCGCTCTTCGGTTCCGGCACCTGCAGTGCCGAGGCCGCCACCACTGAAGATGCCGCCTGAGCCGTCGAGAGCGGTGTCAAAGAAGGCGAAATAGGAGCCGAAGGAGGCGAGAAAAGCTCGAAAAACACGTCACCCGACCAAAAAGGAAGTTGACGTTGAGTTGGGAGTTGCCAGGAGTCATGGATGGTGATACTGTCGTGGTTCATGAAGTGGGCACACGTGGTTCGATCTCTGGAAAGATCCTGGTGAAGGTGTTTGGGGAGTACCTCATGAGGATGAACCAACGTTGTGCGGGAGGACAATGAACCCATATAGACCAAATCATCTCCTCTTTTCAACCATACGGCCACTCCAGGTCGTTGTTGGAGCTTTTCGCCACTATTGGCTTTGGGCAACGAAAAAGGATTGGTGGATGAAGAACTGGTGAGCTCCTTTGCCAACTGCTCTGGCAATCGCCATTTCCCATTGAACTCAAGCACCGAGATCGTTCGGTGACCCGATGGCAGTCGACGCATTGGTGTCTTCTTTCCTCCTCGAATTGAGAAGGTGTTCTTGCCGGTATCGATCACTCCACCCACCAGTTCGATGTAGCTGATGGGCAAAAGAAAAGGGGTCTCAAAAGCGCCAGCATCTGCAATCTCCGTCACACGAAGAAGCCCGTTAGTGCGAGCGATGCCTACTGGCACGTCAAAGACTCCACAGATGGTAGCTGAGCCACCGATCCCAGCGCATGTTGCTGTGGTTCCTTCCGCTGGGATTGGCTGAAGCCCAAACTTGGCCAATGCAGCACGAAGGCGGCTCATGGCTGAAGAACCAATGATGGCCTCTTCAGCAGCCGTGTCGACCACACCTTCACAGTCATCCGTTCTCACTCCAGCAAACACATCCAGCTGCCGTTGCACCTCAGCCTTGACATTCACGGCGTAGATGCGAGACTGGCTGCTGCTTCCAGAGTGCACGAAAAAGGTCTGCGGTGTTTCCTGGTGAGGGCAATCACGCGACATGTGGCCCAAACCGCCACAGGAAAAACATTTGGTTCTTGCCAGCAACTCATCTGGTGTGCCACGAGCTTGACCTCGACCGCGACCAGCGCCACCAGCGCTGTTGCGGCCTTTGCCAAAGCCTCGGCGCTGGAAGCCCTTGTTCTTGCCTTTCTTCTGAACTGGTGGAGTGTTTCCCTTCTTGAAAAACTGACGACCCTTTCTTCGAGCCTGTAGTTCACGGCGAACATCTTTGCAGGCACTATTGTAGGCCCAAATGTAGGTCGCTTCTTCTTCGGTGTATTCTTCCTGAGGGTCAAACATCAGGAAGGTCATGTTTCCTTGTCCATCACTTTCAGGGCCTTCTTCATCCTCAGGTTCCTCGGCATCGGCTGGAAGAAGTTCTTCTTCCTCGTCATCTTCGTCTCCTCCATAGTCCTGCGCGGTCAAGTAAGTCTTGGTCACTTTTTGAACCAGAGCGTCAGGACGATCTAGGGGCCGAAGAGCAGCGGCTGCCTGGTCAAAACTGAGCAGTGCATTGTAGCGAACTGCCATAGCTTCCTTCTGAGCATCTGAAAGGTTGGCATGCTTCAGGAGGATGCGGCCAGCAATGCGAGAAGGCAGTTTCTCCCCAAGGTGAGATTCCAGCTCTTGCAACGCCACCTCCTTAGCTGCAATGTAGGTGGACAGGTTCTCATTTCGATTCCTCTCGGTGCCATAAAAGAAGGTCTCGATGGATGCTGGACCAGCGGCTTCCAAGTATGGCCCATACTTGACCATAATGGCCGAGAGGATGGCAGAGTAGCCACTCTCAGAGGTGAGAATCGCTAGGTCGATGGTCTCGGCAATCCGACGAGGAGGGGACTGTTCTCCAAACGCTTGCATCAACTTCAAGCCCCATTTGTGCTTGGGAACATTGTTGTCGACTTCCCAGAGCATCAACTGTCGAAGCCAAGGCCTCAATGTAGCGATGTCCCCACTCCAGCTTGGGAGATTCTTTCGATCGCCCGACAGGGCTGCAGTGAGAGCTTTCATCATCGTTTCCTGAGGGTCCACCGTCGTTGCAGCAGGTCGGTGAACAGGCTTGCCCAGCATCTCAAAAGCACTGCTGATCGAAGGTGCCGACGGAGGTGCTGCTGTGGCGTCAAGCTGATGCCACAGGTTCGCTGCATTGAGAGGTCCGGTCACAGGTGCACCAGCGCCCAAGTTCGGCGCAGTGTGAGCTACATGTCCCCTTTGGGGTTCCACACCAAAAGTTGGAGGTGCTCCCATGCCTAAACCAGTAGTCCCTTGGGGATTCGGTGCAAAAGAAAAAGGCTGACTGAAAGATCCTGAGAAGCTTGCTGCATGAGACATTTGCGGAGTTGGGCTCATTCCAGGTGTTGCCACTGGTGAGGAAGACGTGGCAAAGTTCCCAGCTGCCGAAGGCGTAGTTCCAGGCGTTCCTAAGGAAGTGTTTCCCGGTACCCTCGGCTGCGACTGCATGCCACTGAAGGCTGGCTGAGCTAAACCTGAGTGCCCCTGTCCAAACACTCCCGAAGCTCGGGAGGAAGCATCACCTGTGGAAGGTGGTGGTGGTCGAAGCCCTCCTTGAGACATTCCACGAAAGTTCCGCCAGGGGTCCATACCCAACCAGGGATCCATGGGATGCAGTCGGAGTCGTATGTGGCTCCGCTGCCACTATAAAAGTGCAGCAGTCCAAAACTGAAAGGAATCAAACAACGAATGCGAATCAAAGCATGGCACCGCCCCGGCACGGCGGTCGAAAACAGCCCTTTCACTCGGGAGCTCAAGACGTCTGAGGATCGGACATACTCACAGCATGCGACTGGTGGAACAGTCTAAGGAATGCATTTCATGGTTTCTCAAGCTAAATAATGTTCAATTCAAGGGAGAGCAAATGTTCTTCATTGAGCCTTTAAAACTTCAAGATGGAGAATAGCCTCCAATGCTATTCCGCGTTTGTTGACCCCGTTTTTGGAGTCCTGTTGAATCTTTCGCCAACAGCCAACCACCCAACTACCCTATGGCTTCCTGAGATGGCGAGGCAAAACATCTTCAGAACACAAGCAACAAAAACCTAACAAGCACAAAAGAGGGCTGTGGTTTCTGACTAAACTTGCTGAAACCTCAAAGCATCTCAAACCGACCACAGGTTCGCTTTGTTTCTCATCTGCCGGCTGTTTTGGGGCGCCAGTTCTGCCTCGGCAGAGCTCCAGCGCACGTTGCGCGGCGCTCAGAGAGGTGTACCTTCGAAACCGGTGCGTGGAGCCCCATGGAGCCGGTTTAAGGCCAACCTTGTGCCACTCGGGGCGTCCAATGACAAGTCTTGAAGCCGGTCGTTCCTTTCCAACTCCCTTGACCAAACATCGGGAGACACCCCATGCGGATGCGAGACAGCTCGGACAGCCGGTGGGGCACTTAACAATGCCGGCTCGGCTCTGCAGGCCTCCGGTTTCAGCTTGGGAAGTGTATTCGGTCCAGGGTCTGACTCATCTCGTACCAGGACTCCCCAGGGAGGGCTCGAGGTCTGATATGCCGAGTTAAAGGTGGGAGATTGAATCAAAAGTGAGGAGTCTAAATTCAAGCCTGCAAGAAACCCATCTCCAGCTATTCAGACTTTTTGTCGGCCCTGGCGCAATTGCGCCTTGCCGCTGAGGAAGAAGTATGCACCCAGTGATTTGGGAGGCCTTGGCGAGAGTGTTGAAAGCTCTGGCTGGGAAACACGATCTTTTACTGTATATTCTTGGCATGAAAAGGCGTTCTGGACCTACTGTAGCGAGAACCTCTCCTGGCAAAGCCAAAAAATATTGACATCAGTGGCAAGCTTCAGCTTTCTCTGTCTCTGGAAGACGCCCAAAATAGGATGCAAATCCATCGAAGCTTCCGCAACGGGGAACAATGTTCAAAGAAGCCTCACAGTGAAGCTACACTCCCTGATAAGCCAGGGTCCCCTGACGTCTCCTCCGATATCGTGGTGAAATGCCTGACAAGGCATCTTCTGATCAAAATCACCGTCCCCATCCAGGTCCAAAATGATGCGGGGAATGAAGAAAAATCCGTGTCTGAAGAACCAAGTTACTACTAGTCAGGCCAGAAGAAAGGCTTCTTGTTACTAGTAGCAATGCAATTGTTACTACAGTAGTAGCGATGCCCGTAGGTTTCTACCTGCATCAAGGAGGCCGGGATGGGGGCCTCCCCGAGGCCTGCCTTGATGTCCTCCTCGGACCAGTTGGATGGCCTCGGGCAGACTACTTCGGACTCACCATTCCCCCAGGTGAGGACAGCGGAAAAATGCGGGCAACAGGGTAGCAAGAGAAGAAGGAGGGAAATCCACTAAAGGCACTAAAATTCATCTGTTTCCCGAAATCTTCATGCGTCGGTGTCTCAGTGACGAAAGAGATATTCCCAGAATGTTGTTATGTCCTTTTGGCCCTGGGCCTGAGGCTGATAACTACCCAGATCGGGGAGGCTGAGGTATATCGGAATTGTTGACATGGATTGTACCCTGGCAAATAACCGATCGAAATGTTGTTAACGTGCTACAGTTTTTCCCCAAGCAGTTTACTGTTAGGGGTTCTCAATTCTTTCTTAAGATGTGTCCGCCCTTTGTGTCACTGCTGGTGTCCGCCCTTTTCCGCTGGCCATGTAGAATTTCTATTCATTTGTCTCCCAGGTCTGTCACTGGTGTCCGCCCTTTTCCGCTGGCCACGCAGCATTTCTATTCATTTGTCTCCCAGGTCTGTCACTGCTGGTGTCCGCCCTTTTCCGCTGGCCATGTAGCATTTCAAAGCATTTGTTTCCCAGGTCTGTCGCTGCTGGTGTCCGCCCTTTTCCGCTGGCCATGTAGCATTTCTGGTCATTTGTCTCCCAGGTCTGTCACTGGTGATGGCCAGCCCTTTTCCGCTCGCCATGCAGCATTTCATTTTGTCTCCCAGGTCTGTCACTGCTGGTGTCCGCCCTTTTCCGCTGGAGATGCAGCATTTCTATTCACAGAAACCATTTACTGTTAGGGGCTCTCAATTCTTCTTCGAGATGCGTCCGCCCTTTCTGTCACTGCTGGACCTTTTCCGCTGGCCAAGCAGCATTTCCTTGTCTCCCTTCTGTCTCCCTTTGTTTCCGGTCTTGTGTCCCTTCTTGTTGGTCACAGTATCTGCCTTGTCTTTCCTTTTGTCTCCCTTCTTGTCTCCCTTCTTGTTGGTCACTGTGTCCGCCTTGTCTCCCTTCTGTCTCCCTTTGTGTCCGGTCTTGTCTCCCTTTTTGTTGGTCACTGTGTCCGTCTTGTCTCCCTCCTGTTTCCTTTCGTCTCCCTTCTCGTCTCCCTTGTTGTCTCCCTTCTTGTTGGTCATTGTGTCCGCCTTGTCTTCCTTCTTGTCTGCCTTTCCCTTCCTGTTGGTCACTGTGTCCGCCTTGTCTCCCTTCTGTTTTCTTTTCTTTTCCTTCTTGTCTCCGTTCTTGTTGGTCATTGTGTCCGTCTTGTCTCTCTTCCCCTTTTTTCTCCCTTCTTGGTTGGTCATTGTGTCTGCCTTGTCTCCCTTCTGTCTCCCTTTGTCTCCGGTCTTGTCTCCCTTCTTGTTGGTCACAGTGTCCTTCTTATCTCCCTTCTGTCTCCTTTTGTCTCCCTTCTTGTCTCCCTTCTTGTTGGTCATTGTGTCCGCCTTGTCTCCCTTCATTCTTTCTTTGTCTCCGGTCTTGTCTCCCTTCTTGTGGGTCACTTGTCTCCCTTCTTGTTCGTCATTGTGTCCGTCTTGTCTCCCTTCTGTCTCCTTGTTTTCTCTGGTCTTGTCTCCCTTCTTGGTGGTCATTGTGTCCGCCTTTTCTCTCTTCTGTTTCCTTTTGTCTCCCTTCTTGTTGGTCACTGTGTCCGCCTTCCTCCGCCTTGTCTCCCTTCTGTTTCCTTTTGTATCCCTTCTTGTCTCCCTTCTTGTTGGTCATTGCGTCCGTCTTCTCTCCCTTCTGTCTCCCTTTTTTCTCCGGTATTGTCTCCCTTCTTGGTGGTCATTGCGTCCGTCTTGTCTCCCTCTGTTTCCTTTTGTCTCCCTTCTTGTCTCCGTTCTTGTTTGTCATTGTGTCCGTCTTGTCTCCCTTCTTGTTGGCGTCTCAAAAAGTGGACTTGGGAATGCTTCGTTGTTGTCTAACCTGTTTGGGGTCTACGGCGGTGTAATTTGCTGCCCAATCTCAACAAGCGACTTCAGTCACAAAGCCGCACGATCTTTGTCGCAATCGCAACATGTGAGCAGAAACACACACCCGACCCCAGTCCACCTCAACCCACCTCCAAAAAAATTGTAAAATGGGGGTTCTGGGGAGTTCTTGTTCATCAGCCACCTCGTTGAATTTTCTTGGCTTTTGAAAATTTGTGTTGAGCCTTTGTCGTTTTTCTGGGGTCTTGTTATGCGATGACGCAAGCTTGGTGCGCTTAACTAGTTTTGCGCTTTTGGAGCCTGGGGGTGTGTGGAGCTGGTGCGCGGGGTGGTGCGTGAGGCGGTGCGCAAACAAAACGCCCGGGGTTTGTCCTATGTTTTGTGGTGCGCAGAGTGGTGCGCGGAGTGATGCGCGGCGGTGCGCAGACAAGACATCCGGGGTTTACAAGCAAAATAAGAGGTAGCGGTAGCGGTAGAAGTAGAATCAGGTTCCCCGCGGTTCCCCGCGGATCCCTGCGCTTCTCCGGGGACAGCAAGACTATTTTGTAATCATTAGGCTTTAAACAGTGGTCAACATTGTAACATGGCCATTGGTGTCCGCGAGGATCCGTGGGGATCCGTGGGGAACCGCGGGGAACCGCGGGGAACCGCCGGGACCGGATTCTACCTCTTATTTTGCTCGTATGTAGGCTAAGCGCAAGGGTGCTTTGGAACTCCCCGCAATTCCCCGCAGATCCGCGGTTCCCCGCGGATCGCCGCGGTTCCCCCTTCCGCACCACCCCGCGCACCACCCCGCGCACCACTCCACGCACCACCCAGACCTTCCCAAACCTACCCAAACCCAGATTTTGACATAGGGGTAGTTAAGCGCACTCTGCCGTGGCCAAGGGTCATAACATTCACTATCATTGCTATAATTCAACGAGGTGGATGATTGTTTAGGTTGTAGTGTTTTCTTGTGTGGTGGTTTTTTGGGTTTTGGGTTTATGTTCCGTTTTGGCTGTTCTTTTCCTTTTACTTTGTTTTGATATTTTATGCTTTCCTCGTGTCGTTTGACTTGATATTTGTTTATGATGCTTTCGCACACCGGACATACTAATGTTTGATCATTTTTACGATAGTAGTATTGTCTGGCATACTCTCTAAATTTATCTTGGTTTTTCTCCCTGTATCGTTGCTTGGCTTCCGACATAATTTACATTGCTTACATTCATTTTTGAAGTAGTTGAGTGGCTGAAAGACCTTACACTTGGAACATTGCTTTTTGTCAGTCATTGTATCTCTATAAGTTTAAGGGTTATGTCTTTAAATGTTTTTTAGGGGGTTCTCCTGTTGTGGGGGGTTTGGGTTTAAAGGATTAGTTCATAATATGTTTAATTAAAAAGATTATAAATTAATCGTGCGTATGCTGTCCATTTTCCTATTCCATCCCACCAGTGTTCAATGACCCTCATTTGTGTTAGGCACGGTTTGTTTGTATCGTTTAGTTCATCCATCGCT